TTAGGCGAGATGGGGCTGTCGTCTCTTCCCCGGATCTGCTATCAGGGTTGTTTGTAGGAGTGACCTCTCCCCTAGAGGTGCTTTCGACCTGACCCTCGGGGGTCTGCGTCATGAAGCATTCCCAGGAAGGGTGGTGGCTCCCCCTACTAGAATTCGAGCTGGAGAACGATCCTGGCTCCTCGTTGAGGAGCCCGTAGAGGGTCTCCATATCATGCTCGATCGCCCCCACGAACTCGATGTCCGTGGGTGACTGAACCATTTGTGGCGCCAGAAGGTGGCCAGCGGTCGCCGCAGCGTTGCGGAGACCGAACGGAAATGCTGTTAGGGTGCTCCGCACGGGACCTTCGGGACACAGGGTGACGTTGTGCGAGACCTCACTTGATGACTGGGGTCCAAGGGAGTTGCCCGGCGGGCCCTCAAGCCTAAGACGGCTGAGGTCGATGGAAGGGAGAGACGGGGCGGCTATGTGAGTTAGCGCCAGCTCTCCTCCTAGTGTGATGACGAAATCTAGGTCGCCGAAACGCACATGTGCGCCCGGGGCCTAGATGATTGCGTGGGTGGCCATCCAAGGCCTGATTTGGAACACGCAAAGGCCCCTACCTAGCGCGCCAACTGTCGGTGTTTCGTACAAGCACCGGCAAGTAAATTTATAGTAATGCGCGTTAGGCTCGGATGGTGCGCTAAAGGACACAAGATTTATACTGGTTCAGGCCGAAAGTCCCTACGTCCAGTTTATTGCTGCTCGTGTTATTAGCACCGTGAACGATTTGTAGTAAGGGGTACAAACGATCGAGAGAGGGACTGGTCCCAAGTCTCAGATGGAGGGGTTGAAGGGATGTCAAGAGGTTCGAGACAACTTGACTGTGTGTATCTGTGTGTCGTATTGTTCGGTCTCCAGAGTCCCCCTTCCTGATGGAGGAAGCGCATCCCCTTTTATAGAGGAAGGGGGTCGCTTTTACAAGGGCGAGTTTTTAGGATGTATATGCTACTTAGCCTTGTGGCTCACGTCTACCTGACTTCGTTCTTCATTTTGATGAGTACGAATGAAGATAAGCGCCTACAATACTGTTGATGTTTCTGTAGAATGTCAGGTTGATTATAGAATGCTGCCCTACGCAGGATGTGGGCTATAGTACAGTGGTTTTGACTTATCGGCCTCTCCCAGCCTTGCTCCGCACGCCATCTGGTTCCTATGAGTCTTTGTCAGAGGGACGAGGGGTCGGGGTCCGGAGCGACGACGTGGTCAAGGCCTTCTGACTTGGTGGACCTGAGGGGTCGGGAAGCGGGTGCCGCTCCCTCGGGTCCATAGCATGGTGACGGAAAGTCCATCGTGCGTGGAGATATTAATTCCTTTTCTGGAGCATAGCGATTGTCGTATATCTTAGTCGAGTTCCGTGTCCCAGGGCTGAAGGCGGTGCCTACAACTCTATAGGGCGAGGAGCACGCACCTGTACAACCTTTCGAGCTCTGCAGCACCCGGAAGGGTCTAAAGCACCTGTCCTGTCATCCCATGGCAGTACTTTTCCTGCCAGGGCGCAGGGTATGGTCCTTGGAGCCATGGTTGACCCAAACGTCTTGTCTTGCCCTGTACTTATCATCTTGAGGGAATGGGGAGAAGTTGTCAGGTAAGATGAATCCAATCTTTAGATATGTAGCAGGGTGAGACTCGTTCGTTGCTGTCGGGCGAAACGGAGACCAATTCCTGTCTCCCGGGCGAGACCGACCTTGCCCCTCCGGGGTCGGGCGAGGCGGATTCTATCCCTCAGCCCTCGGGCGAGACCGAGCCCGCCCTAAAGGCGTTGGGCGAGACGGAGTTCATCCCTCGGCCCTCGGGCGAGACCGAGCCCGCCCCAAAGGCGTCGGGCGAGACGGAGATTAACCCTGAGCCCTCGGGCGAGGTAGAGTTATCCCACAAAGGCGTCGGGCGAGGCTGAACCGAACTCCTGTCGCTCGAACAAGGGATGAAACGACGCCCTTATGCGTCCAGAAGTTTTTCACGTTCGGTGGTTATTGGTTCCACCTTCTGGGGTACCCCGGTATTAGGTCCCCGACAATTCACTAACCCGAGGACGACTTGGACTTCATCACGATGATCCTCTAGGAAGGCTTACACATAAACCTACAAAAGAGCTCAGTCCACCCAATCAGATCCTAGGACATTGATCTAGACCATGTGTTAGTCTCATTTGCAGGGACAAGAGAATCCTTCCCGTGCCGCTACTTAGGATTGCAGCTCCACACGAGATCCCTGCAAAAAGGTCCATGTGCAACATCTCATCGAACGCATTGGACAGAGGCTACCCGGTTGGAAAGGTAGATTGCTCAACAGAGTGGGTAGACTTACTTTGGTCACCTCAGTGCTATCTTCAATGGCTACCTATCACCTCATTGTATTCCCACTGGTGGTATGGGCAAGAAAGAAAATTGACAAACTTAGAAGATCTTTTCTTTGGAAAGGGGAGGAGAACACGAATGGAGGACATTGCCTGGTAAAGTGGTCGACAGTCTGCAGACCAAAAGAATTGGGGGGGTTGGGGTGCCAGATTTGGAAAGATTTGGAACAGCCTTGCGCCTACGTTGGTTGTGGCTGGAGTGGGTTCATGACTCAAACCTTGGGCGGGGATAGAATTGCAGTACAATGACCGAGACCGACTACTCTTCAACGCCTCAACCACGGTAACAATTGGGAATGGTAACAAGGCATGTTTCTGGCACCATAATTGGCTAGAGGGTGAGGCTCTAAGATACCTAGCGCCCCACCTTTTTGAGATAGTGCGCCGTAAGAACAGGATGGTTTGCCAGGAGCTACAAAATGGTAACCGGATCCGATCCCTCAAGACACGAATCACAACATCAGTGCATATACAGGAATTTGTGGCTCTTTGGATCAGGATCCAGGATGTGCAGCTGACGCCCGAAGTGCAAGACTCCATAGTTTGGAGATGGACAGCTGACGGAAACTACTCCACACGTTCAGCGTACAGGATATAGTTCCGAGGTTTGCATCGCAAGTTCCAGGCTGATCTCATTTGGAGAGCAAGGGCGGAAAATAAATGCAAAGTGCATGCCTGGATACTAATACATGACAAAATCCTCACGGCCGACAACCTGCAAAAGAGAGGGTGGCCACATCAAGAGCATTGTGTCTTGTGTAATGGACCTTTGGAGACAGGGCTACATCTATCTCTGCTATGCCCCTTTGCTAGAGCCGTCTGGAGCCAGGTGTTATCCTAGGAAAATTTTGATGTGCAGCTGCCCCAACAAGATCCCCAATGTCTTGCCAATTGGTGGGAGGATGCGGCGACCAAGGTGCTAAAGCAAGAATGCAGAACATTCAATGGAGTGTTTATTTACATTGTGTGGAACCTGTGGAAGGAAAGGAATAGGAGGATTTTTTAAAATGAGCACAAAACGTCGGCACAAGTCGCCTCATTGACCAAGGAAGATATTGTTCAAAGGCGTAGGACCATGTGTATTGCAGGGTAAAACAACAAGTGTGTGAGCGGTGCCTATTTGTGTTTGGTCCTATGACCGGTGTGTTTGGCACCATGGGCGCTCTTGTACATAAACAACCTTTTCTTTTTAATTGAGCGGCAAAGCTCCTTCCTTTACTTTCAAAAAAAAGAGATTCAAATAACTAATGTGACCATTCCAGTTCTCCCATACCCAACTTGGTATAACACCGTTGATCTGATTCCTTGAGAGGTCTAGTTCCGTAATCTAATTCAGATATCTCAGCACATTGGAAGTTTTGTAAGGTTGCATGAAGCAAGCATCAAACTTTGAATGGGAGGTGGCGAATGAAACAGAGAATCACCTTCTTCATCTATCAAAGATAGCATGTTATTGCGATGCGGTGGCCTCTCGTCACTGATTCTGTCGACCAGGTGTTTGAGGAAATGTGCCCACGCGGATGCACAGCATACTATGGGTCTGTTCGTTTGGCTGGGCTTGTTCGTTGCTGGATCGTGAAGAAGTACTGTTGACGGGTTTGGTGTGAGAGAAAAATACTGTTCCGACTAGAAATTTATGATCGTTTACGATCATATAATCCCAGCCGAACAGGGTGTATGCTTTCCACTACTACTATTATTATTATTTACGTGCAATATGTGAGATCTCAATTTCCTTTGCCTTTTGACTTCCATTTCAATAACAAAGTTGCATTTTGCTTGAAAAATGATGATCAGAAATGAAAAAAAAACTGGACCTACGAGGGTATGACCACCCCAGGTATTGCATTAAGAAGAAGACCTTCTCACGCAGCACAGAAAACCCCCGAATCCCTGCCCAACCCTTACACAGCGGCACCGTCGCCCTGTGAGAGCGGGCCGGTCCTTAGACCTGTGCTTTGGCGTGGGACAGACGAGGAGATTTTTTTAACACCAGCCTGAAATTCGCTCCCACGAGAAGTCGAACTCAGGACCTGAGAAGTGCCGTCGAGACGCTCTAACTAGTTGGACTAGAGGCCCAATATCCCAGTGTTGGACTCTCTACCACAATGCTTAATGTATTTTGGCTAGTGTAAAATTTTAGTTGGCTTGTACAATTGTTACCGACAATAATCATTAAATGCAAAACCAACCTTCAGTGTTGGACTCTTCCACCAATTCTGATGTCTCCCAGAATAGACTTAAAACTTAAGAGCATTTAAGACAGATGACTTTCCAAAGTTGTAGCACTTGGAATTTTTCTCTCGTCACACATTTTTCTCCTCGAATCTCATCACACATAAGAGCTGATTATCTCAGAAAAACAAGTTCATTACGAAGTTCACACTAGCATTTCTAGGTAAGGACTACAGGAGTACATAACGAAGCAGTAAACATAAGCTGCGTTATTTTAGAAGTCAAACAAAATCAAATCAGTGACGAGGACACCATATATCCTAGTGAAATAACAACAAATTGTGGCGGTTCAGGTAATGATGGCAGCTTCTTCCTAGTGCAATACCGTGGGGCGGTCTTTCCTCACAAACTGAGTTTTTTGTTCTAAAGAAATTAGATCCCATGGCACCACCTACTGAGTACAACGGACACTCCTTTTACATGACAAACCTTTTGGCATATGATTGCCAATGCAAAGCCCACTCCAAACCCCAAGCCAGAAAATATGAACAGTAGGGCAACACCAACTTTGTCTTCCCACCAACTGCTACCTTCTGAAGCAGCAGCTGAGCTTGGAGTATCACATTGTTTGGACAGTGGCCTTCCACAGAGGCCCACATTGCCTTCAAATGAGCTGCTGGAAAATGAGAAGAATTGGTTGCTCTGTGGTACTCTTCCAGTTAAATTGTTGTATGAAAGATTGAGCCAAGCGAGGAAAGTTAGAGAAGTTAACTCTTGTGGGATTTCCCCTGAGAGCTGGTTCCAGGAGAGATCTAATGATTCAAGCTGAGCCAAGTCACCAAGCTGTCGTGGAATTTCTCCCATGAAAGCATTATGTGACATGTTAAGACCATGAAGTGATACAAGCCTCCCTATTGATCCAGGAATGACATCATCAAATGAGTTGTTTGATAAATCAATTGCGTTGAAGGTAGTCAGCATTTTATTGAATGTGATATCCAACCCTTTATATGTAATTGTGATGACATCATGGTAGATAAAACCTTGTGAAAAGTTTGTTTGGTGCCCTAGAACCTGTCCATTGTTGACACTTGCCATCATTGATTTCAGTTTACCAAACCATTCTGAGTGCAAGTTGCCAGAGAAAGTGTTACTTGCCAAATCAAGTATTTGCAAACTTGAGAAGAAATCCCTTGTTTGATCACCATTTTGAAGCCCCCCTATTGTGCCATAGAATTGGTTGGATCTCAGTACAAGAACTCGAAGCTTAGGAAGACTCCCCAACCAAGAAGGGAATAAATCGAGGATTTGGTTATTGCTAACATCAAGGAGCACTAGGCTTTTGCAGTTTGATATCGACCTTGGGAGTCCCCCCTCAATTTGGTTGCCATTCAAATCTATTGTCTCAAACATACACCCTTCCTTAATTTTTTGAGGCAACATCCCGTGGAACTTATTCTCCCTCAACTTCAGTACACTCAAGCTTCCACCTTCGAGTAGACAATATGGGACCAAACCACTAAAGTTGTTATAAGATAAGTCCAGGATCTGGAGTTCTCTCATGCCACAAATGGAAGTTGGCACATGGCCATGTAGTCTATTTTTGGACAAATTAATATAGACAACATTGTTAAGATACCTACCAAAGTTAGGAAGAATGGAAGAGAATCCATTATTTGAGTAATCTAAGGCAACTACACCATAAGGCAAGGATATGACTGGTATGGGTATATCTCCTTGAAGCCTATTGAAACTAAGATTGAGAAAATTTAGATGTGTCATTGGAATAAGTGAGGACTTTTCAAGGTTAGTAAATGCATTGTTCGAGAGGTCCAACATTCCAAGAGTGTCCTTCCAAACCACCCATATCCATCCTGGTATACTCCCGCCAATCTGATTACTTGAAAGGTCTAATTCAAGAATGATATCTAGATATCTCAAAACCCTTGGGAGTTTTGTGAGGTTGCAAGATGCTAGGCCAAGGTGCTGAATGTTAGGGAGGACAGGAGGCAGAGAACCATCTTCTGCATCAATCACTGATAGCATATTGTTAGAGAAACCAAGAAAATAAAGATTGCTTAGTTTCCAGAAAGGGTTAAGTTCCACTGTGCCTATCAAGTGATTTGACTCAAGGTTGAGATATTTGAGACTTGGAAGTTGGGAAAATGATGGTGGCATTGGACCACTAAGTTGATTATTGCTTAAATCAATCTCAGATATAGATGAGGACAAAGGAGCAGGAATTCTTCTAGATGACCAGAAAGCTGATTTGAGTCTAGGTACAGTGTTTGCAGTGTCGGAAGAACAAAGATAGATCTTGGAATTTTGCCTGCATTTACATAGAGAATATGTAGTCAACAGGTCTGTACTGCACCTTTCTAAATAAAGGCAGGAAATTTTCCTTAAAAAGAGGAAATAGGGCACATAGTACTAGTAGAAGTTCATTGTTAGTTAGATCACTTACAAAGATAAAATTATTTTGCAAAGCACAGAGAAGGTTCTATACAGTATTTAGCATCTGTACTTGTACTAGTAAAACTAGAATAAGTAATACAGTTTCAAACGCATGCAAGAATCTTACCAGTCAGGCTGTTGCTTCCCAAGTTCAGATCACTGAGCTTGGTTAAATTCCCAATCCATAAGGGTATTGACCCAGATATGTTGCAAGAGTGGAGCGTTAAACTATTCAGATTTGTAAGATTGGTAATCGAAGAGGGTAAAGCCCCAGATAAATCATAACTGTCAAGCTCAAGGTATGTCAAATTCTTAAGACTGCCTATCCAAGACCAAGAGAACTCCAGCTTCCTTGGTCCTGATATTCCATAGAGACGCAGTTCCTCCAATGACTGGATTTTTCCAATAACTGAGATATCTGACGCCCTTGAAATCCCTGACGTGCTAAGGCCCAAATGCTTCAGAGACTTGAGATTGACCAGTGATGCTGGTATAACACTGGGACAGTTGATCTTTGTCATTACTAGATCCAGCACTTCCAATTGATTTCCCCTCTCAAACTCTGGTAACTGAACACAAAGATTATCATTCCAGTACAGATCAAGGAACCTCAACCTTTTTAGCTGGAAGATCCTTGTGGGGAACTGCCCCTCAAAATCGTTCCCTGACAGGTCCAGAATTGTCAGTAGAGAGAAGTTTGCAAAGAACTCTGGAACCACACCAGTGATTCCAAAGTTGCCCCTGAGGTTAACCATTGTCAGAAACCGGAGTCGCGAGAAAGAGGTAGCAATCGAACCGGACAATCCGCATGACATTAAGCTGAGGATTTGGATCTGGGGAATAGAGGGCCATATAGCGCTCGACCAAGTTGGGCCGCTGCTGGAGAGGTCCATCTCATCAAGGTAGAGCTCTCTCAGTCTGCTTAGGTTTGCTATGAAGCTTTGAAAATTGGGCTCACTGAGGTATAAGTTTGGATTACCAGACAAGTCGAGAACAAGAAGCTTGTTCAGACTTGCAATACCAACAGGAATCTGACCAGCAAAATTTGTAAGAGACAGATCGATGCTGACGAGCTCGGAGAGCCGCTCAAACCCAGAAGATGGGAGCTGCGCTCCCCTGAAGTCATTGCCACTAAGGCTAAGGTTTCTGAGCAAGGTGAGGTTGAAGATTGCAGGGTCTAGGCCATTGCTCTGAAGATAATATTGGCCACCGAGGTCGAGCGCGATGACATGACCGGAAGCCATGTCGCAGGTGACACCCTCCCAGTGGCAGCAGTCGGTGTCAGGTTGCCATGACGGGAGGCTGCCTTTGCTGATGAAGGAGCGCTTTATCTGCAGCAGGGAAGACGACTGAGATGCGAGGCATGCCGCAATGGAGCCATTGGCAGTGGCAGTAGGATGGGAGGAGGAAGAGTGTGTGTAGAGGAGGAGGAGCAAGATGAGCAGCTGTTTGTGCGTGGAACTCATCGTGCAAATTTGCGTGCTTCCGACCCCTCTGAATGTACTAGTTAATTAGAGGATGGAGAAGGTGTCAACATATATTGTTACTTTGATTCCTTGTTTCCAAGTCCAAACTCCAAATGCTGTTAACCTTGTCCAACACGCTCAGTGTGATCACAGCTTGATGCAGCACAGTAAGGAGGAGGTACATCCGTACATGTGATAGGTGACGGCAAATGCAGCGTAGACCTCACTATATTTCAGGTTCCTGAAATAGAGTATCTGTTCAGGCGACAACTAACAACCATCAGAGCCAACGGTTCCAAATCTATTAGTACAAATCACAATAAACAAGTTATAATTTTTTTTTCTATGAAAGGACAAGGACAAAACTGTTCAGGCGCTTGAACTATAGGAGATATGAAAAAAAATCGTCACGCTGGCTGGCAAAGACTCAGCAGCAGGCAGTCAAAGTCAAGTCAAGAGATAAGAAAAAAGACTTGGCATTCAGAGTCGTTGATTCTCGCTTGCATTTTGTTGGGATAGGCATCTCTTTTAGTCCTGTCATTGTCTGTAACTGACTCTCTGTCTGGTGGAACCGAGAGTCCGGTCTTTGAAAAATAAAAAGCTAGGGGGCCGTGTGTTGTTGACATCTCTGAATTTGGCGTAACCATTGGTCGCAATGGGCGAGTCTGTTCACGCGTTCAAACTTGAAATCTGTTTCTGATTAGATCTTTATTTTTTTTAAAGAAAATAACACAATGTGTCCTACAGCGCATCTGCAACTTTATTCGATGCAGAGTTCTTTTTTCTTTTATCTAGACAAGGTTAATACAGCAAGGTCTGAACTGTTAGTCGTGTTCTTCTCAAACAATTGTACTCTCTAATTCAGTTAATTCCTTTGCACCCTCCATAAGCTTAGTCTATTCTCGTTGTAATAGTATGTGTTGCTTATTAAACCTTGTTTGGATACAATTATAATCGATGGCTTCCCGATGACAACGACTAACGGGATGACGATTTGTTGTTGCTTGATGCTAGGCCAGCAAATCAATTGTTGCCAAAACCTTCCTACAAGGGCGCTGCCCTCTGTGGAGATCGATTTCCCCAAGGGCGATGCAGTTGGCAGCGGTAGCAGAAACCTTGGCTCAGGATCGAAACACTAAATTTAGCTTTCTTGGGTTCCAAAGGCAAGACTTCCTGAAGATGATTGGAGATCGATAGGCTAGAGGGTCAGATAAGTTGGTTCTCTCCTGCGCCGGCTAGGCAACCACGCTCGGGTTAGGACAGAAACAAACCTCTAATTTCTGGAGCCTATTGGGCCTGCGTTGCATGTGATTCACTTCTATTCTTTTGTCACGGTTAGAGTACAATAATTCAATTCAGATCGTTCCGTTAAGTTTAGTGTAAGTTTTACTTCATGTGTTGTACTAATACAACAACAACAACAAAATCATTTAAGTCGCAAATAAGTTAGGATAGGCTAGAATTGAAACCCAGCAGAAGCAATCAAGATTCAGGCACGTGAATAACTGTTTTCCAAGCACTTCTATCTAAGGCTAAGTCTTTAGGTATATTCCATCCTTTCAAGACTCATTTTATTGTCTCTACATAAGTCAATTTCGGTCTTCCTCTACCTCTCTTCACGTTACTATCATGGCTTAGGATTCCACTACGCACCGGTGCCTCTGTAGGTCTCCGTTGAACATGTCTAAACCATCTCAACCGGTATTAGACAAACTTTTCTTCAATTGGTGTTACCCCTAATCTATCACGTATGTCATCGTTCCGAACTCGATCCCTTCTTGTATGACCGCAAATCCAACGCAACATACGCATTTTCGCGACACTTATCTGTTGAACAAGTCGTCTTTTCATAGGGCCAACATTCTGCACCATACAACATAGCAGGTCTAATCGTCGTCCTATAAAACTTACCTTTTAACTTCTGTGGTACCCTTTTTTTCACATAGGATGCTTGGCGCCACTTCATCCACCATGCTTTGATTCCATGGCTAACATCTTCATCAATATCCTCGTCTCTCTGTAGCATTGATCCTAAATATCGAAAAGTATCCTTCCTAGACACTACTTGACCTTACAAACTAATATCTTCCTCCTCCCGAGTAGTAGTGCCGAAGTCACATCTCATATACTCAGTTTTAGTTTTTCGAGTCTTTGGACTTCGAGTCAGTTTCTAAAATCAACTAGCACTACATTGACTACACCAAGGATGTCCCTTGTATGTCCCTTGTGCAGATAAGGATGGCAACGGATCGGGTTTGGGGCGGATATCCATGGGTTTCGGGTTCTCGCGGGTTCGGTTTGGGATAATTCACGGTTTCGAAACCAATCGGGTTCGCTTTGGGTTTGGTTTTCACGTGGATATCCAATGGATATTGAAATAAATCATTTGGAATTAAAACTCATGTTTTATAAAAATAATTTGTTTACTTAGATTATTAAGGGATGTTGACACATGAAAATATTTATTATTTGTTGTACATGTGAATATGTGTGACCTCATCCATCACTAAGGCATCCGCGGGTTTGGTTTTGGTGATAGAATCGGTTTTCGGGCGGATTCGGGTTTCGATTTCGGTTTCGGGTTTTGGACCCCGATTGATGCCATCCTTCAAGCATGATAAGGGCTCTTGATGTAGTCCTATCATAATCGAGAAGTTATCCGTGTCTCCATCACTTATTCGAATACTAGTCACAACATTGTTGTACATGTCCTTAATGAGGCCAACGTACTTCGTTGGAACTTTATGTTTGTCTAAAGCTCACCACATAACATTCCTTGGTATTTTATCATAAGTCTTCTCCAAGTCAATAAAAACCATGTGTAGGTTCTTCTTCCTCTCCCTATGCCGCTCCATAACTTATCTTATTAAGAAAATGGCTTCCATAGTTGATCTTCCGGGCATGAAATCAAATTGGTTCATAGAGACCCGCGTTATTGCTCTCAAGTGATGCTCGATAACTCTCTCCCATAGCTTCATAGTATGGCTCATCAACTTAATTCCCCGGTAATTAGTACAACTTTGAATATCCCATTTATTCTTGTAAATCGGTACAAATATACTTCTCCATTCGTCAGGCATCTTGTTCGATCGAAAAATATGGTTGAACAACTTGGTTAGCCATACTATAACTATGTTCCCGAGGCATCTCCACACCTCGATTGGGATACCATCCGGTCCCACCGTCTTACCTCCTTTTATCCTTTTCAACGCCTCTCTGACCTTAGATTCTTGAATTCTCCGCACAAAGCGCCTATTGGTGTGATCAAAAGAGTCATCCAAGTGAAAGATTGTGTCCGTATTCTCACCATTGAACAATTTATCAAAATACTCTTGCCATCAATATCGGATCTCATCCTCCTTCACCAAGAGATGCTCCCTTTCATCCTTAATGCACTTAACTTGGTTGAAGACCCTTGTCTTTCTCTCACGAATCCTAGCCATCCTATAAATGTCCTTCTCTCCTTCCTTCGTACTCAAATATTGGTAAAGATCATCGTACGCTCTACCCTTTGTCACACTTACAGCTCGCTTTGCAGTATTCTTTGCCACCTTGTACTTCTCTATGTTATCCATACTCCTGTCATGGTACAAGCGTCTATAGTATTCTTTCTTCTCCTTAATAGCCCTTTGGACTTCCTCGTTCCAAGTATCTTTAGCCTCGCCTCCACTTTCTTTGGTTACTCCACACACCTCTAAGGCCACCTTTCGAATGTTGGTTGCCATCTTCTCCCACATATTGTTTATGTCCTCTTTTTTCCTTCCAAGAGCCATATTTGATAACCCTTTCTCTGAATACCTCTGCCGTCTCCCCTTTCAGTTTCCACCACTTTGTTGTTTATCCCTACGGGCATGCACCTGAAAACATTTAGCTTGTTTATCCCTACGTGCACGCATCTGAAAACGAAAGTCTGCCACCAAAAGTTTATGTTGAGAAACAACACACTCCTCTGGTATCACCTTGCAACCCAAGCATGCTCGTTTGTCCTTTCTTCTTGCGAGGACAAAGTTAATCTGGCTAGAGTGTTGTCCGCTACTAATATATTTTTAAATTTAGCACTTGACATAATTATAGTCAGTAAAATAGTCCTTTTCACCTTGATATAACACCACTATCCTTGGGAATTAGATCTGAAACAGAATAATCAGGAAACTGCAATCTTATCTTATAACATCGAGATACATTTAACCAGTACAACAGTAATATGTCTTATAGAAAAATATCAGGCATTTGTTGCATATTGGTATTACATATACATATAAATATACAAATGTTTGCAAATCCATCCTTCTATGCGGTAAAATATTCGTGACAAGATTGCCAATGCGAAACCCACTCCAAACCCCAAGCCAACAAATGTGAACAAAAGGATGGCATCAACTCTGTTCTGCCACAAACTATTGGATTCTTGATGATCTAATGCTCTTGGAGTAGTTGAACCGGGATTGTCACATTGTTTTGACACTTCACTTCCACAAAGGCCCGCATTGCCTTCAAAATAACTGGATGGAAATGAAAAAAACTGGCTTTGCTCTGGTATTCTTCCAGTCAAGTTGTTGTAGGAAAGATTTAGCCAACTGAGAGAAGTTAGAGAGGTCAGATCTGGTGGGATTTCCCCTGAGAAATGGTTGCAGGAGAGATCTAAAGATTCCAGCCTACTCAAATCACCAAGCTGTGGTGGAATTTGTCCCACAAAATTATTGTGCGACATATTAAGTCCATGTAGTGAAACAGGCCTGCCAAGTGACGTGGGAATGGGACCATCAAATGAGTTATCTGATAAATCGATTACTTCAAAAGTGGTTAGGATTTTGGTTATCTGTAACTCAGAATTTTTGTATGTGATGGTGACAGTATATTGATAGTTTGGTTCATTTGGTTTGTTGTCGTGCTCCAAAATTTGTCCTTTGTCATTGGCTCATTGCTGTTATTTATCATTGATTTCAATGTCTCAAACCATTCTGAATGCAAGTAACCAGAGAAATTGTTGGAGGCTAAGT